TCCAACTCCACACCCGCAGCCCAGAGCCCCAGCTCTCCCCCCATCCGCCCCTCCTCCTCCCGGGTCCCCCTTTAATGAAAATTTACGGACAGACAGGTCAGGGATCCTCTCCTGACCCCAGCAGTCCTGAAGGCCCCGCTCATGCCCCCACTTTGCAGAAAGAGAAACCGAAGCACAGAGAGCCAGGTCCAGGGGTCCAGCTTCTATTGGGAGCCCCGCCAGGCCGACCACCTTTGGCTCCCCCCATTTCAGAGGCAACTGAGTGGACAAGCGTTCTAACTGTGCCCCCAGGACATTGTGAAGACGCTGGGTGTCTGAACCCCAAGGCCAGGATGACCCCTCTCAGGGGCTGCGCTCCAGCCGGAGGGCCCAAGGGAGCCTGAATTCCATCTGGAAAGCCAGCCTGTTAGCTCTCCTTGAGCCTCAGGCTCCTCATGAGCCCCAAGCCCTGGCTGGCTGGACGCCCTTGGCTGGCCCTGGCCCCCTGTGCCTGGGCCAGCTTATGAGCTCTGCTGTTCTTTCCCCAGCCAAGCTTTCTGGACTGGCCCAACTCCTCCCCGTTGGTTCTGCCCACAGGAAAGTGGGTTTCAAGACCCTTGGGCCACCCGCTTCCTGGAGCCCAGGGAGGATGCATGAATGCACTGGCCACAGGAGCTGGCTGGCTCCTAGGGTGCCCAGCCCCAGGCCCTGGTCCCTGGCCTTGGTGCTGCAGTTCCCCCACCCACAGGCTCTTTCTGCGAGTCCAGCCCCATCAGCAACAAAGTTGGTTCCCCGGCCTGCGCTCCCAGGCGAAGGGCAGACTCCAGGACCACCCGGAGGTGACCGCTGGGCGCAGGCCACACCTCTTCCAGCCCTTTCCCAAGAGCTGGGAGGGGTCCGGCAGGGGGAAGGGGTGAGGGGGGGCGGCGGAGGTTCCAGGAGGGAACTCCGGATGGAAGGACGCTTAGGGTGTGCCCGGGGACGGGGAGGCGCCTGGCCCTGAGCAGGGCCTGGAGCCGCCGGCCACTCTCCCGCTTCCCGGGTCTGCGTCCTGCCTGCGCTCGCAGATGGGCTGGTGCGGGGCTGGTCCGGTCCAGATGCTGGATAGGGTGGGGGTGGGAGCCCTCTCATTCCGGGTTGGGGGTGGGAAGGTGGGGGACTCGGGGTCCCCGGGGTCACGTGCCCCCATCCCTGGACTCGGCGGCCGGAGCCGGCGCGGAGCCGGGCCGCGCGCGCCTCAGACAAAGGCTCCGACAGGTCCCCGCGTCCCAGCCGGTCCCCCCCACCCCCGCCCGCCTCCCCCGCGGTGACCGCTTACCTCGGCCCGGTCGGGTCCTGGGGTCCTCCAAGCTCCCAGCCCCGCCCGCGCCCAACGCCCCCGCGCCGGGACCCCTGGGCGCCCGCGCCCCGCCCCGCTGCGCCCCGCTCCCCGCACCCCTCCTCGGGCCGAGCGCGGCCGAGCGCGGCCGGCGTCCTCCGCGGGTCCCGGGTCGGCCGGCCCCCGGGTCGGCGACCGCGTCCGGGGGGCGCCAGCAGCAGCGGCAGCGGCAGCGGCAGCGGCAGCGGCAGCGGCAGCGGCCAACGTTAGTCTATGTGACGCACTGCTTTACGCAGAAAGCTCTGTCGAGAAGTTCTGTTAATTATCTATTTCTTCGTCCAGGTGAAGTCTCGCGCCAGCCAGCGCTCTGCTCCCGTGTGCGGCAGCGGCAGCGGCAGCGGCAGCGGCGAGCACAGCGGAGACTCCCGCGCTCCGCCCCGGCCCGCCACCCCCGCGGAGCCCCGCCCCTTTCTCCCCTCCTCCTTCCCCGCCCTCCTCCTCCGTCTCCCGCCCGCTGCGCCCGCAGAGGCGGGGGAGGGGCGAAGGTTGAGGTCGGGGCCCCAGACGCCCCGGGGGACCTATTGGTCCCGGCGACCCTGGGGTGACCTGTGGCTGATCTAGCCGCCATCCCCCATGCCCACCTCCCCGCCTGGGTGCCCAGGCCTACTGCCCCCCTCCCCGCACCCCGCCCACCCCTACCTTGTCCCCTCGCGGGGGAGGCCTGCGGTGCTCGAGGGGTGGGTGGGACAGGTTACCCGGTGAGCTGATCCAAGTTTTGAAGGATGAGTAGGATTCCGCGGGCTGGAGAAACGCGTGGATTCCACAGAGGTCTAGGGGCTGCCGCGGCCCCCTGTGCCGCTCCTTCGCGTGGTCCCCACCCCTGCCCGCGGTCCCCCTGCTCGCCGCTTGGGATCAGACCCTGACGAGGTCGCTTCCTATCACTGAGCTTCAGTTTTCTCCCAGGAAGGTGGAATTATAACCCTCCCCAGGGCTGTCAGTCCCGGTGCGCACCTCTCTCCCAGCTGCCGATTGCTCATCTGTAACCTGGCCCTAAGAGAAGAGACCCGTGCTGAGGCTCAGAAAACATGCCCTGGGAGCAGTCCACGTTGGGGGGAGGGGGTGTTCCTTGCCCGGAAAGGGGTCCAGCCTCAAGGGGAGAACAAGAACCAGGTGGGAGGTAGATGAGCCTGCCCATGGGAAGCCCCCAACCAGGGCTGAGCCCTCCCTGTGGGATCAACAGAGGTGCCTGCCAGGACTCGTGCCAAGCCCCTACCTGGATGCCCTCCCCTCACTTTCCACCAGACTAGCCCCTCTTCCTGCCTGGAGACCCACCCCTGGTGAGTGAGGGTGGGCCAGGGGGACGTGGCCGTTGTTCAGTCATTAATCTCAAAGTTAATGAGCCTGATGCTTCCCAGGCCCTAGAGCTTTGAAAGGGCCAGTGCAGGAAACCATGCAGAGCTGCCCTGGGTGTAGATAAAAATTATTCGGTGCCTGTGAGACATTGTTCTGGATTCAGGGGACACATCAGGGTCCCTGCCCCCATGGGGTTACGTAGGCAATGAACAGGTACAATCATTTGCGGAAGCGTCAGATGGCAGACAGGGGTGGGACAGACAATGGCATGTGTCTATGGGAATGGGTGGGCATTATTGTCTAGTGGTCAGGGAAGGCCACTCTGAGAAGGTGACGCTGGGCCTGAGAGACTAGCCCCTGGTGGGGAGGTTTGTGGGAGGGGGCTTCTAGGCAGAGGGACAGCCAGAGCAAAGTCCTGAGGCCAGAGAAAGCTCATTCTATTCGGGAACAGAAAGAAGGCTGGTGG